GAACATAAATTTACATGAAAAGTTCCACTGATTTTTACAATTAGAGTCTGACCAGAACATGAGAGTTCAACTGACCTTTACAAGTTAAAAATCTGACCAAGGACAATGTTAGATAGGATCTTACGTAACTCAAGCGATGGTGTTGATCTCGAAGATGTGGTGGTGTCAATTGGGGGGGGCTTCCTGGGAACGTCTATGACGAACCTCCTCCACAGACCAGTGGAGTTGCCCTTGTATAGACATGTTCCACTTGGCCACAAAAGAAAAAAAACACGTGGTTAGATCAATTGACGCTAGCTATCTAGTTAGTTATAACAACAAAAATTTAAACTAGATGTGTTGTTTGGTCCAGAGGATGGAAAATTTAAAGTTCTATGCAATTAGTAATTAAAATTGACTTGGTGATTAAGTTTCTGAATTACTTAATCAATGATGATAATATTTACAATGAAAATGATTAAGATTGTAAAATCCAATAAACAAAGGAAATTATTTAGATTATTTAGATTATTTGTTACACGAAAACCTTTTTTGGATGTAAGTACCCGATAAATTTATTATTATATTTTCGTAAACGTTTCCTTGTGATTGGTTCTTGATCCTTCATCATTGTAATATTATTGAATTTTAATCTGTTTTAATCCTAATAGTCAATATGTATAATGATGTGTATGTTTATTTATTGTAATTATTTTAGTGTCCTGAAGAAGGCTTAAATATAGCCGAAACGTCGACTAACCAATAAACTGGTTTTCTTTAAAAACTGACCCCATTCCCAAACAAATTACCTTCAATTTAATCACTGGGTCATGAACATACTCTAGAAAAGGAAAGATTGACTAGGTTGGTAATGTACAGGGTGATTCACTATATTTTGACCCCCCTTTAACATTTTTGGTTTTAGAGTTATAAAAAAATGTGAAATACTGAACTTGTTCGATTTTTTATGAAGTTTTCGAAAATGATAGAAAAACCAATTAAGTCCAAATAAAATGGCCGCGGATGTTAACTTTGTTAATTTAAATCTAACACCCTGTATATTTTTAGATATTTGAATAGAACGTTCCCTGTCGAGCATAGTTATCTAGGGTTTCTTGGGTCCATCTCTAACAGTAAGCGAGATACTATTGAAAAACGAAAATAAGGTTTTTTATTAAGAAAATAAGACATCTTATAATAATTATTGTTAGACCTCTTTCAGGCATTTCTGCCTCTTTCCAGTTACGTAAAGATTTACAGATATAGTTGTAATATATTTTGACATATTGGACATTGATACGCTCCAAAATGCGTATAGGTATTTTAACTAAATCTCACTAATTAGGCCGTGACAGGCCTGATTACTTATGGACAATACGGTAGGTCGTGACAGTGACAGGTAGGAATGTCATAATAACATTGTTATTGATTGTCAGTTTGTATTATTATTTATTTAAAATTAAATAATAATACAGTCTGTCAAATAACAATGTTGTCATGACATTACCTGTCACTGTCACAGCCCACCGAATAACATTGTCCATAAGTAATTAGGCCTGTCACGGCCTAATTAGTGAGATTGAGTTAAAATACCTATACCCATTTTGGACCGTATCAATGTCCGATATGTCAAAATATATTTGTAAATTCAATGGCTTTCTAGCGGACTAATAATTTATAACAAATTTAAATTTGCGACCAAATTTTTTTGGTTACAAAGACAATGGGGCCACAAAAAAGTGTCTTAAGGGGGTTCCCCGCCAAAAAAACTAGCACTATCAGATTCTACATGTCATAAAACCCCTGTGTACCAAATTTAGTGATTCTCGTATACAGGGTTCTGAAATATAAAAAGGACTATTCTTAGAGGCAAATTTCAGGAGGCTGTAGCTCCGAAAGAGGGGGCAAAAAGAAAAAATACGAGTCCCCTTTTGTCTTAAGAATCTATGACCAAATTTTGTTGCATTAATTTTAAGACTTTTACAAATAAACTACACAGCAGATTTATAGGAGAAGAGGTAAAGAGAAATTTACTAATAGTAATAATATTGTCGAAGAACAAATAATTAATAGCAATATTGTCGTCGACATTTCAAGTAAAGTTCATCCAATAGTTGTACAAAGTACAACATAATTATAAATATAAACAAATGGTTATAATAAACGTTTAATATGTGGAATTCGTTCAATAAATAATGTTATATTTACTAAAACAAAAACGGTACGGGAAAGTTAACTTTCCGGTACCGTTTGCTGATGGTTGCTTAGCAACGAACTAAAATACTAGAGTACGATGTTTTGAGATCTGAAATTGGGCCGAAAAAGTACACATTTCCAAACGATTTAAGAAAAAAAGGTTTTTTTGAAAAAAAAATATCTGCAATTTTAATTGTACTTCTTATGCCATGTTGCCAATTGAATTTTTGTTTCCGAACATTTACTTTTATTTTTTGTGTTATTTTTCATTCATTATCTCTACTGAAATACAAAATAGAATGTTTACCAAACAATTACAGCGACATCCGGACTACACTTATTTGTCAAAATAACGCAAGATCCGATTCATATATTTATACACGTTACCGTACATCTGTAAATGTGACACTCGAAACTGTCTAGATATTTTTAAACTTCAATCTTCAGAATTACTTATTCGCTATTGTTTACCATTATTTTATCGTACTCGTGAAAATTGTATGTATAGATATGTTATAAAATAACGTCGATGTAAAGAATGAATGAGATTAGTTTGAAGAATAGTTGTTTTTGTAATCAAATTGTTATTATTTTTATGATACTAGATTGTAAAGCGCACTCAGTTTATCATTCTGAAGTTATTATATAATCGAGTCTGATTACAAGTTCAGAAACAGTGTCATGAAAGCACGGGAAAAGCAAGAATGAACGATATTTTTCGTTATACCTCTTTGAAAACAACACATAAAAATAAAAATAAATTCAACAAATTACCAAAATGATTTATAAGTAAGCATGAATAGAAGCATGAAAGCAAATACATAATGTTTAAATTTTTCTGTTTGCTGTTTGTATTATTGTAAATATTCAACCCTTTATACGGCAATTTTGTGATATCGGTATCTTCTTCGTAACAAGTGTTGAAACAGAAGGTTCTATTTGAATTACGGTTTTCATATTTTTGTATTTTCTACATTTGAGTGAATGACACACACTTCACAGATAGTTTAACTTTCCTTCGTAGTGGTTCCTCTGTATAACCTTCAGCTACAGTAGAAGAAGCAATACGTTTTGTTACCCCACTAATGGTATGAGTTCCTATATGCTGAGAATAGCATCTACCATTAGATAGATAATTAATAGTTTTCTATACTGTTCATGTTACATCATCGATGAATATAACGAGCGTTCAAATAAAAACGTGGTCAAGTTGGTTCTGAAAATTTGGACGTAGGGCGTAGCGTATAGCAAATGAACTTAAACTTCATCTGTCAAAGCGCTATATCGCCGCTATCAATTTGAATATTTTCGTTTTAAAAAGCGTTTAAAATGGTGTTTTCTCAAGAACAAAAAGTGTTTATCATAGAGTCCTACTTTAGAAATGGACGCAAGATTGATGGAATATGGAAGTATTCTATTGAGGAATGTTTCATAGAATTTCAAAATCAATTTCCCGGCGTTGTTGAGTACAAAATTTTTCAAAGTGCAGTTCAGCGTTGTGTTAATGTTTTTCGTGAAACGGGCAGTGTAACAAGAAAAGAAGGAAGCGGCCGACCTAAAAAGCGGACTGAAGAATTAAAAGAAAATGTCCAACAAATAATGGAAAATGCGCCAAGAACTTCTGTACGTGTTTTATCACAAATGGTGGGAGTATCAGTCGGTACCTGCCACACAGTGTTAAAAAAAGATTTGCGTTTGTTCTCCTATCGTTTAACTTGTCAGCAAGAACTTCATGAAGTTGATTTTCCGCGACGGGCTGTATTTTGTGAATGGTTTTTAAACAACTACGGTGAACTTCATAATATCACCTTTTTTTCTGATGAAGCCTGGTTTCATTTAAGTGGTTACGTAAACTCACAGAATATGAGAATGTGGTCTTCTGAAAAACCAGATAACTTTTTTGTCGAGGGCCCTCTACACGCTCAAAAAATTGGAGTTTGGTGTGCTCTCAATCGAAGGAGGATTTATGGACCTATTTTTTTTAATGGTACTCTTACTGCGCAAAGGTATAGAGAAGAAATTATCGCTCCTTTTGTTAACCAGCTGGAAGAAAACGAAATTACAAACTTTTACTTTCAACAAGATGGCGCAAGGGCACATACGGCAGGCGAGACGATGAATATGTTGAGGGAAGTTTTCCAAAATCGACTAATAAGTCTCAATGCTGAACATGAATTTCCACCGAGGTCATGTGATATTACGCCGTGTGATTTCTTTTTGTGGCCTTACCTTAAAAACACTATTTTTGAACTGCCTATTCCTGATTTAAACCATCTGCAGGCTCGACTTATAGACAAGATTCGTGAAATTAACAATACCCCGAGCATCTTAGAAAATGTCTTTAATTCTTTGAGGAACAGGTGTGAAAAGTGCTTGGAACAAGGAGGGGGACACTTTCAGCAGCTGCTTTAATTTATTGTTATAACAAGGAGGGGGACACTTTCCGCAGCTCCTTTAATTGTTTGTTATTGTTATCACGATTATTCTTTAAAATAAAGTTATATAGTCATTAACGTTATTGAAACTGACAGCTGCTATACAGCTCGTTGAGAAATGAGGTTAAGTTGGTCGCTATAAGCTACTCCCTACGTCCAATGTGTCAGAGCCAACTTCGACCACGTTTTTATTTGAACGCTCGTTATAAGAATCGATTTTTAAATACTCTGAAGTGTTTACAAAATGATAAATATGTAGTTTCTTTTGTTCAAATTCCATACTTGGTTTTTGGCCTTTTGGGTCGCCTGGCCCACAGTGGCAGCGGTCCCGGTGAATTTTCTTCCTTCCCTATGCGTTAATCCACTATAACAGCATCCAATATATTGCAGAAAGCTTCACACCACTGCCGAAAACCCCTTATAAACGCGGGCGACGGCGTCGGCGAGCACCCCAGTCAGGCCCTCTTAGACATTTTCACCATCCGCGAAGAAATAGGAACAGTTAACGGTTTGACGATCACCCTCGTAGGCGACCTGAAGAATGGTCGTACGGTTCACTCCCTCGCTCGACTTCTGACGCTCTACAACGTCCAACTTCGATACGTCAGCCCTCCCAGCCTCAGGATGCCTAACTACGTCACCCAGTTTGTCCAATCCAAAGGTATATCTCAAGAGGAATTCAGCAGTTTGGAGGAGGTTTTGCCCGATACGGATGTGCTGTACATGACCAGGATTCAGAAGGAGAGGTTCGGAACCGAAGAAGAGTATCAGAAGGTAAGAAACTGCGGTGGTCATACAGGGTGTTTCCTAAGTACGTGCGAAACATTCTGAGAAGTATTCTACGACTAAAATTAAGGTAACTTGTTAAATAAATATGGGGTCATATCCTAAAGCTGTCGATTTCGAGATACAGCTTTTCCAAAATTAATAGAAACAATACTTCTACTTCTAAACCTCTTGAGACCTTCTTAAAAGTTATATATAGTTTTAGTGAGTTGGTAGGTATAAAATAAAAAAATTACAGCTTTTTGTAAATAACCAGTAATTGAGCTGAAGGTGTTATCATATCTTCCATGTAGAGATGTTGGATCTGCAATTTCTACAAATCCTCAATTTTTTTGGTCGTTTGTTCAAAAGAAAATGGGAACTTCTAGGATTCCTGGGGAAGTTTTATATAACGATTAAAGATATAAAAATCCTGCTGAAGTTGTAAATGCATTCTCTGAATTTTTTAGTAGTGTCTTTTTGCAGTCTGAGCCAGAGGCTGTCTCTGAGTTGATATCTTTTTGAATGAGATTACTGAGAGTGAAGTTCTTAATGCAATGAAAAAATTAAAAAATAAAATGATTTCTGGCTCTATTGGCATCCCCTCTTTCATAATAAAGAATTGTGCTACTGTTCTAGCAGCTCCGCTTTGTACATTATTTAACTGAGCTATAAGAACAAAGTATTTCCCTAGTCGTTGGAAGGAAACTAGAATTTGTCCAGTTTTTAAGAACGGAGATAAATCAGGGGTCAAGAATTACAGGCCCTTATCTATAATATCAAATTTATCCAAGGTCTTTGAGATAGTCTTATATAACCGTATATATCCGGTATGTAATTTAATTTCTCCATATTAGCAAGGGCAGATCAACTACCACAAACTTGGCTGTAATTACATTACAGGTATATTAGATAATAGGGGACAAGTGGATGTGATTTATGCGGATTTCTCAAAAGCCTTTGACAAGATTGGCCATAAGACACTCCTCCGTAAATTGGCAAATTTTGGCTTCAGTTACGATATGACTCAATTTTTTAAATCTTATTTGGATAAGAGAATGCAATTTGTTTATTATAATGGTTTTAAGTCGACTCATTATATTGCTACCTCAGGTGTTCCTCAGGGTTCCATACTTGGGCCCCTTTTCTTTCTACTATATATTAACGATTTAAATGAGGTAATTAACAATTATAAACTTTTTTACGCCAATGATTTAAAGTTATTTTCTGTTATAAATAGCTTAGTGGATAGCTTGAATTTGCAGATTGATCTGGAACATATAAATTCGTGGTGCTTAGAAAATAGATCGTAATCCTTCTAAATGCAAAATTCTTACATTTTCGAGGAAACAGTCGATCTATGATTTTTTTTAGAAAATTGACGGCTAAATTAGAAATATTCACGAAATGACTAATGTTAAACATGATTTTTACAGTTCGATATACCCAGAAGAACCTTGTGAAGTTTTATCTTGATCTAGCGAACCGTTTCTTTGTTTCAAACAGTCAAACTTTTGAAAAAAATTAAAGGGTCACGTTTTTTGAGCTTAAACACATAATCATGATTAAAATGGAAAAAAAAATTGTTTAAGGTTTACTCACCGCAAATAACGTTTAAATTAATGAAAACAAAAAAAAATAATTTTTTTTCAGAGAAGAAAAAGGGTAGTTTTGACAAAAACTGTTTTTTAAGTGATTACAGATTACACAAAAATTAATTAGAAATTTGTCTCAAAAAAACGGTATGAATCGGGGTCGAAATCAACTTTAATTTTAATTTAATTAAAAGTTGATGAACAGAAGCATAGGACGAAAAAGCCGAATCGTGCTGGAAACAATTGGATTTTTTTCATGTTCCAAAAAAAATAAAAAAAAAACTGAATTTTTTTTTTATCAATTTATACGTTATTTACGATAAAAATGTGAGAAAACTAAAAAAAAAATCCATTTTAATCATGATTATGAAGTGTTTAAGCTCAAAAAACGTGACCCTTTAACTTTTTTCAAAAGTTTGACTGTTTGAAACAAAGGAACGGTTCGCTAGATCGAGATAAAACTTCACAGGGTTTTTCTGAGTATATCGAACTGTGAAAGTCATGCTTAACATTAGTCATTTCGTAAGTATTTCTATTCTAATTCATGTAAAAGATGAAAAAAAAAATTCCGAAAAGTTGCGGCATGTTATAGGAACTTTAGTCCAGTTTTCGAAACTGTCCTTCAATTCTCTGTACGACCAGTTGTCGCCAAAATATCAATGATTGAAGACAAAAGGATCCTTTTCCATTAAAAGTCCGATATTTCGATTAAAAATGGTCGTAACGAAATTAAAAATAAAAAGGAAATTGCAGCTGAATAAACAAGCTCTCCGGTCCAGGCAATGGCTTAGCTGAAAAAAAGTTTCAAGTCCGTCTGAAAATTTACATAATTTTTTTGTCGGAGTATTTCTTAGAATTGCATGATAACCGTAGCTCCTAAAAAAGTTTCGACCTAAATATCTCAAAACTAGAATCTTAGAGCTTCAAAATCCTTTTTTTTTTAATTCCCGATACGACCATTTTTCACCTAAATACAGTCTGTCAAAAATCACGGAAAATTTTCGGAAATTCTTTCGACCCTTTAATTGTTTGTAGGTATTAGTGTATTTTAAACAAAAAATTACCTTATATTCATATTCTACCGTCCCAAACACCCTAAAATTTAAAACTTTTTAAAAAGTTCCGTCACTTGACGGAGTTTAATTAAAATAGTAAAATAAAAATGCAGATTAGCTCATCTTCCTCCACAGAAGCTACCCTTTAAGTGTGACCATTTCATTTTAACACATTGTAACATTATAAATAAAATTTGTCGTTATACAAAATTTGTCTTCATAGGCTTCATTGCATTCTTTTCATTTTTGCCCCTGCACAATTTTTTTATCCTTTTCCATTTAGCCACAAAATTCATTCTCAGTTTTTTTTCCAACTGTATGATATGGTACTATACTGCGAACAAGTTAATACAAAAAATGATTTATAGTAGTATGCTTATATTGATTGTTGAAAATCACTTTCGGGCTAAACAATATGGTTTATGTTTATGGTCCTGCCGATAGAAAATGTTATGAAGATAACCGATTTTATTGTTTTATTTAAAGGTAATTCAAATAAATAAAAAAAGTTTTGCAAAAATCCTATTTTTATATTAAGTCAAACAATGTTCTTTGATACCGAAAATCGAGGTGTGCAAAATATATCTAATCTCGTAGATAAGATTCTTTACTGGTGATATTCAGGAAGACAGTCTGTAGGTGGCATTCCCCAACTGGCACTAAATTATCCAGCAATGTCTAGGAAACAGCAATAATAATTAATGATTATGTAAAATACCAATTAAAAATTTTATTTCTAAGTACTATTATTTGTAATTCATTAACATGCATCTGACATATTGTAGTTATTAAATAATATAATGTTGCAAGGAAATACTGTGTATTTTGTTGCATCTTTGACAAAGATCAACACGTAAAATTAGCCGCGATATTGAAGATCTCCACCCTTTTTGTATTTTAATTTAGGACTGCTTTTTCAAGTAACATAATTTGTAGTAGAATTATACAGGGTGATTCATTAACAATGGGAAAATCGAAAGTTGAAGATACCACACGTGAAATGGTGACCATTGCCGCATGTCTTATCCGAAAGTTGATAGTTTCGGAAATACAGGGAAAATGTCAGTTATTTAAAGAAAAGTACCAAAAAAAAATTTTTTCGCGATTAAATTGTTAATAACTTTTTTTCCTGATAAAATACTTTGTCAGCAAATTAGCCTGTTATTGTACTTATCATTTAAAGTATTCCTGTGTAGTTATTTCCGAGTTATCAAGGAAATGTCACCAACAGTAACTTTTCGGCTTCTGACGACTGGACTATAGGTATATGCTTTAACTTGTTTGTAACGTACTAATATAAAAAAATACACTTGTTACGGATACGCATTTTGTCGGTAAACACTACGGATATGAAGAAATGTGGAAATGTGCAAGTACAAAATGGAACATACATACATACAGGGTGTCCGCAAATTTCACCGACAATGTTTGACTGCATATTCACGACGATCTACGAAAACAAAGTTAAATAAAAACTTTTTGGATTTTGAGTTACAGTCCTTCAAGGTTGTGAAAAATAAAACTAATTTAATTAGTGACTTGTCCCTTTTACCGATCGCATTAAAATTTGGCTTATTTATTTGGAATATTATGGCGTAATATTTCTAAAGCTTTAGTCAAATCCATATTTCGCTCGGCACTTTCGCGCTTGGTTTCTGGATCACATTGAAAACAGCTCACTTCATCACCAGTCACAATGTTGTAAAGGAAGTTTTTGTCCTTTTTGGCCTCCTTGTTGATGTCCTTCGAATGTTGGAATCTGAGCAATTTTTGGTCATTAGTCAACTTGTGCGGAACAAACCGTGCGCCCACCTTTCAGTAGCCCAAATGTTCGACCAAAATCTGATCAATTGATGTTTTTGAGATGCTCAATTCTAAGTCCATGAATTTCAATGAAGATTTTGGCTGATCTTTGATGAATTTACGAACAGTTTTGATGAAATCTGCGGTGATCACATATTTCGGTTGGCCAACATTTATGTCCTCGCACAACCCTTTTATTTTAACCGCATGAACTCTACTACGGGATAAAGAAGCACCACCATAAACTTGGTTCATCAATGGGGTCATTCAGTAAATTTTCAAAAACGTTCTTATTTTGTATACACAAAGTATTGCTCATGATTAGCCGATCCTGAAAATTTCAACTCAATCCGTTGAGCGGTTTTCAAACTATATGATTTTTAAAATGCGACTATTTGTCGCGGCCATGCCAATGCAATGACGTCACCGCATGGGAGGGTCAGCCGGCTTATCGCTACTTTTATCCTCCTGCATCTACAGATTGTTTTAGCGTTTGTGCATATTAAATTTAAAAAATGGAAGCAAATTTCGTAAAATCAGATTCTTCTAATCTACCAGAAGTAGATTTGTTAATGGTTATGGATTTTTTTAATGAAAACCACGACTTTATCGGTGCTGAGATGAGAGGAGTGAAAATGCAAAGGTTACGTTTCAATAGCGAGTAAAGCTTTTTTAAAGTACGTTTGTAGCGAAAGTTTTGATGTATTTATACAATAAGAATAGTAAATAAGAATAAAGATTTTGCGTTTAATTAGACGAAACCGTTTCTGTCACAGGTTTCAAAGATTTACCTAACATAAAATCTACCTAATATCTTATTAATATATTAATAATATAATATTTATTACGTATTTTTATATAAATCCTTAGTACCTATAGTATTTGTATAATATTTACAATAAATCAACAATGGAAAACACAAGTAAATATATTTAAAAAAAAAACAAATGAAAGTAGAGACTAATAGACTATTGATTTTAAATCCACACGACAGAATTACGGGGACATTATTATTTTCTTATTCTTTCTTCACACTAGTGCTCTCCCACACCGGAGAACAATATAATATTTGTAATTTTTTTGTGTTCTGTGTCTTCCATATTGCTAACAAAATTCGATATCTTAACGTACTTACTCAATCGAAACTTAACAGGCAACTAAAACCCGACTACCCGACTGACTGACAACACACGCAAGCATGCGGCATCGGTTTCCCATGCGGTGACGTCACACCCGCCGGTTCAGCGGATACTCAGTGCGCCAGTTTATGAATTTTTTTGGATAACTTGTAGGCGATGTAAAATTCTAATTTTTTGCAGAGAACCTTAAAATTCCAATATCTTTCTGCTAACCAAAAAAAAAAAATTTGCTGAATGAACCCATTGAAACGTTTCGGTAAAAGTTGTACCAAGTTTAAATATTAGCTCTTTGTTTGATGCTCAGTTCTGTACCGATGACAAAAACATACTGTCATTGCGACATCATATATCCGCTTCTATTCGTCCAAATGTCATGAAATTTTGACAGTACATCAGTGAAGGATCTACCTTTCCGACGCATGCCAATAGATGGCCTTACTAGAAATACCTATTTTTGAAAAGTCCTGTTGACTTTGGAACGCACCTTGATCTTTCTACTCATAGCTCTGCAACTGGTTATTCACGAAAACTAAATTTTATATTTACTTGTTATAAATATCTCTAGCGATTTAGAAATTCAAAATTTTTTGATTGCCAACTACCTTAATTTTAACCATTAGAATATGCCCCTGATATAACACCCTGTATAACAAAATTTTTCTAACGGATATATTGTCCAACATCACATTTGGTCTTTATTATTCTAAAATCATCCCAAAGTGCCATAATGTCCTTTCTAACAATAAGTTACAGAATTATTTGACACGAGCACAAAGAATATGCTTTGTGGGCACGAGTTTGAGGTTTGATTTTTACATCTTGGCTTAAAATGTCACACTTTGTCGAAGAAAACGTATCTTTAATATATAAATGTATTTCAATATTCTTGTTTAAAAAAAGGCAGCGCTTGTTGTGGTAAAATTATTTCGTCTATTATCAGCATTATATGTATATACGATAGCATAGATTATAAAACTAATATTATCAATACCCTTGGGTTATTGTAGCTGAAACATAAATAATTAAATTTGTTTTGTTAGGATTGCGCTAAAATGGAATTTTATATTTAAATTTTCCGCTGCAAACACATTTAAACTCAATAAATGACGTCACATCGCGGTAGTTGCTGATTATGGCATAGGAAGATCAGTTTTGCGTTCATTCTATAGCTATAAATACCTACTGTTATCATTTTAGGTTTGCGGGCATTTTGTTGTGACGCCCAAACTGATGACTAGGGCCAAGAGAAAGATGGTGGTCTTACATCCTCTGCCGAGGGTATTCGAAATCAGTCCAGAATTCGATACCGATCCTAGGGCAGCTTATTTCAGACAAGCAGAATGCGGAATGTACGTCAGAATGGCGCTTTTAGCGATGGTGCTTGGAAAATGTTAAACCTACAGTATTCTGAACAAAGTAAGTGGATATTTTATTAAATATATAATTTTATCACCACAATTGACTTGTTTTTTGTTTCCTTCATTATTTTGTCATGTTCCTTTATTCCTGTGACCTTTATCTGATATCATTCTACTTCTGATATTGCAATTATGGCCAGTCAGTATTGCAGGGGCCTTTAAAGAGATCCTTGTGGTACACGCCCACTTGCAGTAATGAACAATCAGATTTAAACAAGATGATTTTAATAATGAAAATGAAAATGTTAATTTGAATAATACAGCTAATACTAATAAAAATATATATTTTTTATACAAATTCTGTCTTATACAACTAAGACTGATTTTTACAAATATACACCAGTTTATTCGAACATTTTTATGCAGTACTGCCACAAACTATATCTTCAAATAAACTCACAAATATAAAACAAATACATTAAATATATACAATCCACACCATGATCAAAACAAAAAAAATGTAATTTTAATACAATAAACTAATAAATGTCCCAGATGAATAATAACTATATACAACTATACAATATAATACGTACATGGTAATGTTGCTCTTATTTATATATTTTAGTTTTTTTATGAATCTCTTGAAGTGATTTTTTAAAATACTATTCGACAGCAAGTCAGATTAAAAAATATAAAAAATGTTACTACTATAAAATTAGACGTTTATTTTAATATTGGTAGAATTAAAGTAATCCAAGTCCAGAAAATTCAAACCACCATAGAGTTTGAGGGTGATGGCTCGCAGTGCATTTTGTCGGCTAATGTTGCTTCATCTTCTCTGGTAACCCTTCCAATCTTGATTGGAAGTTTCAACTTGAGAATTTTCCTAGGCCTCTTTTTGGTCTGCATCTTTTGTAGTTTCCTGAAAACAAGCACATCAGTTATTATTAGGTTAATTTTTTTTGTGCTCGTCTTCATAATGGATGATACTTGGACATAGAGAGGAAATTTTAATGGTAAGTATAATGCATTAATAACAAACATTTTCCATAATTATTCAAACCGTTTTTTTTTCGCAAAATGGTGATTAAAATTAACGAAATTGAAAATTGTTCAAACTTATTCAGAACCTCTGGAATACAATTATTTTTGAGGTGTGTGGGTGTAGGTTTGTTGTAAAGAATTGTAATTAAAGCCAGCTAAGATGAAGTCAGCGGTTCCAAAAATTTTTCTTACATTATTGTGGTCAGTCAGTATAAAACTCACAACTTCTGCAAAATTGATGTATGGTGATAATTTCCATTCATAACTTTTTCCTCTTTCGGGCAATAATGACAACTATTCGATAGGTGATACCATTTGGAAATTTTTGGGACTCTTGTAGAATTTTGATTAAATGAGCGGTTTGGGTACAAAAAAAATATTTTTTAAATGCGTACATTATCTTGCCACCGATATTGCAATACTTAACAAAGTGATAGTAGGCTCTTATTTTGTAGGTTGACTGTAATTTCAGTTTGATCTTGTTTGGGATAGCATTATTAATGGCCCTGTTATTTTAACCAATAGACTGAATGGGGTATTTTATTTACTTAGAATTTTTGCACAACCCGAGTTATTGGAAGATGTGCAGTTATCAAATAAAAAATAGTTGTCATTATTGCCCGAAAGAGGAAAAAGTTATAAAGTAATACTGTCACCATACATCAATTTTGTAGGAATTATAACTTTAAAAAAACACTCTGTATAACACCAAAATGTGTAGATTGAAAGCAAAAGTCCACACCCCAAAAATAATCAAAATCGATTAATACGTATTCGAGTTATTTCCAAAATTCAAAAAATTTCCACGAACTTTGAAGCCATCTAGCGCCAAACGAAGCGATTTTGGACATAGGTGAATTCCTAAATCCGCCAATTTTGAGTTCACGAATATGTGGTCTTCCGTTGTACACGTTATTCTGGGACACCCTGTATACAGCAATTTGTGTATACAATTGTAAATAGAGCCCAGCCAAACTATAGATGAAGTCAGCGGTTCCAAAAATGCTTCTTCACATTATTGTGGTAAGTCAGTAGGCGTTAAATAAATATCTTTGGCATAGGGCATAAGTTAACATTAAACTACATATTTTGAGTGAATAAATTCAAATTGACCTCTGAAAAATATATGATTCAACGATAAATTTTGCTATAAATACGCCCATGAAAACTGTTAAGTTAACTGCACATCTTTATATACAGCAATTTGTGTAAACAATTGTAAATAGAGCCAAGAGAATAGATGCAGTCAGCGGTTCCAGAAATGTTTCTTCACATTATTTGGTAAGTCAGTAGGCGTTAAATAAATCTGTTTGGCATAGGGCATAAATTAACATTAAACTATATACTTTGGAGCGAATAAATTCAAATTGATCTTTGGAAAATATATGATTCAACGAAAAATGTTTTTATAAATAAGCGGTAAAGTATGAATCATGGATGAATGAATAACAAAATACATAATTTGACATTCAAATATCTGAAGTTGGAATTTTAAATAACGAGGTGTTTGAATTTGCAATTTCACTAAAATCTGCTTATATAAATTTTTATTTGATATTAAAAATTTTAAATCAATAATTTATTGTTATGAATTTGTGATGTACTAGACCACAGACGTTATCACAGACAACTTCTATTTAGGTAACTCTTCTCTTTCTCTCAATTAGTAAATGTAAGGGAAGGACGGTGGTATAAGATTTTGGTTGAATTTCCTTCTAATAGACGGCGCAATTAAATCGTAGTTTATCACGTCATAGCTGTCCGCCAAATTAATTTTAGTTTTATATTTTTTTTATTGTTGTCTTTCAAGGCAATACAGGGCAAGTTTTTGTAACATCATTTTAATTTCTGTTCACATCCGAAAAGGTGGCAAACACCCTATTGTATTATTAACTGAACGACAAAGTAAGTGTTGTAAATACCGACAAAGTACAAAGTACGTGGATAACTCTTCGATCATCCTTATTTCATACTTTATCGCATTATAACAATAAAATTCATATGTACACAACACAACTACTTGAATGAATGGAAAAGTATGAACTTTGGCACTCAATTAATAATACTGTTATCAAAAATTCGTATTCAGGTACTTGAATGAATGACAAAATAAAAATTTTGCATTTCATTCAAATATACTTTGTACTTAAAAATCAAAATACAAGTTCTACATAATTTTATTGTCATAAATTACACAGGCACACAGAAAAGTCCAAGTCCCACATATCATTTCTGAAGGAATTCGATACGCTGAACACGATCAAAATTTCCCGATGAATTTCGGAGGAAAGTTTAAATTTTTAGGTGAGAACTGGTCCAAATATGAGTCAAAACTGATTTTTCCTTAAATTTTGTCCAAGTATATCAATTTGGTAGTGCTTTAAGGCGGTGAACACGACGCCATTAGTAAAATTTACCCATAACCTTGATATTTCTCAGAAAGTCCCAAATATGGGTCAAAACTGTTTTTTTTTTCCTAAATTTTGTTCAAATTTATAAATTTAGTAGTATTTTCAGGCGCTGAACAGGATGCCATTAATAAAATTTACCCACGACCTCCATATTTCTGAAAAATTCCACTATTTAAGTGAAAAGTGGTCCAAATATGGGTCAAAACTGATTTTTTCCTTAAATTTTGTCCAAATATATCAATTTAGTAGTTTTTCAGGCGCTGAACACGATGCCATTAATAAAATTTACCCACGACCTCCATATTTCTGAAAAATTACACTATTTGAGTGAAAAGTGGTATAAATATGGGTCAAAACTGATTTTTTCCTTAAATTTTGTCCAAATATATCAATTTAGTAGTTTTCAGGCGGTGGACACGATGCCATTAGTAAAATTTACTCATGATCACTACTACTACTTACTATTTTTCAGAAAGTCCACTATTTTGGGTGAAAACTGACCCAAATATGGGTCAAAACTGCTTTTTTGACCCATATTTGTACCAGTTTCACCCAAAAATTTCACTTTTCTCCGAAATTTATCGGATCATGAATTTTGACTACAGGTTCAAGATCAGCGCATCGAATTCCTTCTGAAATTATATGTGTGTGCCTGTGTTATCATTAAAGAACGAAGTATTGATGAACGAATGGTAAAGTAACGAGCGTTCAAATAAAAACGTGGTCGAAGTTGGCTCTGACACATTGGACGTAGGGAGTAGCTTATAGCGACCAACTTAACCTTATTTCTCAACGAGCTGTATAGCAGCTGTCAGTTTCAATAACGTTAATGACTATATAACTTTATTTTAAAGAATAATCGTGATAACAATAATAAACAATTAAAGGAGCTGCGGAAAGTGTCCCCCTCCTTGTTATAACAATAAATTAAAGCAGCTGCTGAAAGTGTCCCCCTCCTTGTTCCAAGCACTTTTCACACCTGTTCCTCAAAGAATTAAAGACATTTTCTAAGATGCTGGTGGTATTGTTAATTTCACGAATCTTGTCTATAAGTCGAGCCTGCAGATGGTTTAAATCAGGAATAGGCAGTTCAAAAATAGTGTTTTTAAGGTAAGGCCACAAAAAGAAATCAAACGGCGTAATATCACATGACCTCGGTGGAAATTCATGTTCAGCATTGAGACTTATTAGTCGATTTTGGAAAACGTCCCTTTTAAACGCTTTTTAAAACGAAAATATTCAAATTGATAGCGGCGATATAGCGCTTTGACAGATGACGTTTAAGTTCATTTGCTATACGCTACGCCCTACGTCCAAATTTTCAGAACCAACTTGACCATGTTTTTATTTGAACGCTCGTTATATACACTGTAAGAAAAATTGGACTTATTTTCACTCAATTTCACTTAATAATATATCAATTTCTGTCCACCCGATTGAGTGAAATTTTCCTCTATTAGTATGAGTAGGTACAACTAAAAGTTTATGAGTGAAACTATTAGTTTTAGTTAAAATATTATAAAAAATGTGTAAAATTATCAAAATACCTAATATTGGCTGAAAACGTACTCAATACGTTTCACTCAGACCGATTTTTTTGCAGTGTACTTCATCGAAGTATTTGAGATGTTCGTTTGTTTTTTTTTTTTTTGATAATACTCACTCCTGTCGACAATCGATGAAAACGGCGATCCCAAACAGCAGCGTTATAGTCAGCACGGCCGATATAACGAATATGACGACGGTGGTGATCTGATTGGTCTCCTCCTGTATAATTTCTGGTAGAGACGTGGATTGCGTGGAGGTCTCATCTGGAAAAATACCGCAGAATTAGTTCCCTGCCATAAGACTGTTAAGTAACGCGATGGTGAAAGTGTGACACGGTTTGAGCGGCAGTTGTTATTTACCTGAAATACTTCAAATCCAACCTGATATAACATAAAATAGTTTCTCTTTGGCTCGAACTGGAATCTTATTTCTCATCGGTTCTAACAAAGAAGAGATGTATATAATTGTATTTATCTCTCAACAACAGATACATTAATAAAATATTTATATACTATTCCCAGAAATAAAAAATTTATGGTACAGTACAAGTATAGTTCTTGAAAGTATAAAAATACTCTTCCACGAATGCAAGCGCTTCAGGGCATTATGGTTGCAAATGTTTGCAGTTATCTATAGGTACCTTTTTTATTAAAAGTATGTGGTGAATACATAATTAAAATGATCGCAAGTCATCTGATCAGGACTGAACTAGCACAAAGTGACAAAGTTCAATAAACTTTGAGAATTTAAATCGATATATTTTTTATCTAAAAGTACAATTACGCTTGAAATGTTCACTTAAATTAACGTTATTTAATTTTTTTAAAGTAGATTGATAGGTTCGTTCTTATAGTTTTGTAAAGACGGAATTGTAAATGGGCCAGTACAATCCTGACTCGAAATCTGACTTTTAGCCGATCAGCCTCTCTATTGATTTCAAAGACATCCGCAAGGTCAGATAGCGTGTATATTTTATATTATTTCGAATTCCTGGTTAATAATTATTATTAACGCAAAGCTATTACTTAGTAAACGTTAATTCAGACACGATGCGGCATTCATTTGAATACATACAAAGAAACTGTTGTTTTTTTTTAATATTAATGACGCGATTAGAATTTCCTAAGAGAACGTTTATGATTTTTTTTGTAGTAGCTTATACCTACATACACAAGTGAATTTTCATTTTGAATTAACCAAAAGCCACAAATTATTACATGATGTAATCATTTAGCGCGTTGGAAGAAATTGAGGTTTTTATTCTGTCAAAACTTAATGATGGATTCTACATCATAAAACAATAAAAAAGTGTCCGGAAACACTTCCTTTTGGAGATACAGGACGTTGAATTTAAAAAATAAGCTTCGCGTTTATTTAAATACCTCTTAAGATATTTGACGTAGGTTGATGAAACTTAGGCCAATGACTTAATTAACTACGGGCAAACATTTGCTGGGTTGGTACACAAATCTGTTATCTGTCACCAGTGGTGGAGGTACTGAGAAACATTGTCGCCCTAGAATTTCGATGCCACTCAATATTTTAAAAATTAGATAAGTTCATTTAATTGCGATTGGTATTTCTAAGATATATTTTCCATATAATATGAAAATTAAGCCATTTTTCAGTTACTACAATTATTATTTTCTTAGGACATACATCGACAATAACAAATAATAAAACTGTTAGCTATCACTACAAAAATGTAGGAATTTTTTGTTAGAAATGTTGTTTCATTGTTTAAATATAATGATATTATGAAAAGACCATAAAAGTCATTGGTGTAGGAATTTTTAATTTCTAGAGGCACAGTAACCTCGTAAAAAATTTAGTATTGTTATGCTGATTTTTTTTTTTAATTTCGATATTGTATTTATAACTAAAAAATTCTATATTTTTTGTGCGAGTTGTTTTTAATTTATTAATTTAAATTTCAAAAATAATAATTGAGTAATATATTCGAAAAATTTGGAAAATATTTTGTTTTCTTACCACTCGAAATTAAATCCAATCCAGTTTCCAAAAGATGTAGTGGAGTCAAAATTCTTCACACAATTTACAATTTTTTATTCAAAATCTGAACGTTGTCAATTTCTTTACAATTTGTATAGTTCTATACAGGGTGTTCTAAATATCATGTACATAAGGGAGGGGGTAATTCTTTGTCTTACTAAATGACTAAATATTCATATAAACGTAGGTCCTCAAACGCTTCGTTACCGATCTACACAGGGTGCTGAAATTTCAAGATTTTTTTAGTTTTTTCTCTATAGCTCCTACAGTTTTTGAGATATTTAGGTCAAATTTGGAATATAGGTTACGCTGTCGGGCTTACATTATTGGGTATGCCAAATGGTTGTGAGATTCAACAGGGTGATATTTTTGTCTGGGGTCATGCTCCCTTTTCCTCCCTTGAACTTTTGTACGGTGTGCCGCTGGTAGATACTATATTACAAACTGAATTTTCTGTTTTGTTGAGAAACTTCTTGGTCTCATGGTTTTTTCGTATCTGCGACCATTATCGAGTAAAAAAAATAAAACGCGATGTTGTGTAATTCGTTAGATTTTATTCTTTGAAATTCTTTAAATGGTCAGTAGGCTCTGGCAAGTTTCTCAACAAAACAGAAAATTCAATTTGTATTTTAGAATCTACCAGTAATGCACCGCACAAAAGTCAGGGAAATAACTATTACAGCTTTTGAGGTTAGGTACGACTAATGGTTAGTTAGGTTCAAACGAATGTAGGAATTCGATTCAGTAGCCCCAAAAATATAAAGATATGTTGGTTACACTTCATTCCTAAACGTAGAAAAGTGTAATCTTAGCAATTTGCGCTACTTTTTTGAGGTTAGGCATGAATTCTGACTAGTTGAAGTTATATTGATATCAGAATTGGTTTCAGCGATCCGGAAAACATAAATTGTGATGGTTAGACTGTGTTACTCATCGTAGAAACGTATTATTTCAACGATTTGAAGTATTTTTAAGGTTAGGGACGAACAGTGACCAGATGGGGTTTAACGAATATTGAATTCGAAATCAGCAACCCCAAAAACGTATAGATATGGTGATTCAGTCTATAATACAGTATTTTTGTGTTTCTTATATATCAATATTGCTCATTAAACAGAATTTTGCATGATTGCGGACGCCATATTGGAACCGCCATGATGTTTTTTTAAAATCACCAGACGGCATTCGATAGAGTTTTAAATACGAGTTAAATACGAAGCTTTTGACACGTCGAACGTCAATATTGATGCATTTTTATTCTGGGCAGCCCACTGTGCTCGTTGACGTGAAACGCCCGTTAATATAAATTTAATATCTTATTAATAATGAAAAAAAGACAATATGCACTTTTGCAATAATAAGTTACGCTTTTTTGCACAATTAACCCTTAACAATTAAAAAAACCAGTTATATGTTTTAAATATGTTCGTATTTTTGGGCTATTTAATAAAAAAATATTTAAACTTCATTTTTTTGTTGAATATTACGTCAACGGCATGTACCACTATAAACCGGAACTATATACAGAGTGTCTAAACAAAGTTTCCAAAACATTGTTTTCATTTTTCCACTGAAAAAATTTCATGGAGTCAGAGCCGATTTACAATGTTTTATTTTGTTTGCAAATATTTGTAGTCACCAGTTCAAGTAAATAACTGAAAATTCGGTGTCCCACTTAAATGTTTAACTACTCCATCCAATGCAAAGAAAACCATCGTGATTAATAAATCGTGATTACTTTATTATTTTATTCGCACCTCGCTCCAATACACCTATCTTAATATATTTTAAACATGTTATTAGCAATTTTACCTTCAAATCGACCTTATTTCTGTTCTCATCAACAAGGTTCGGTGGTTGAAAATATCAGTCTCGATCCTGTTAGGCGTACGATTTCAATATAAGCATAAAAGGCCCAACCACAATGCCATTTGTGTTATATATATAGAAAGTGCACACCTATAAAGATACACCGCAACGAAGGTCAAATACTGGGCTATGTATATTATTATTATAAATTGTTTCTATAAGACGAAATAACTGAAGCTATGAGATTGGCCTAGATATGAAGCAAATAGCTATTAACTAGATAGATTGGCCTAGCCTGGTCTCTTACTGCGCATTTCTGGTAATGGAGCAGTGGCGGTTCGTCGTATGAACCAACTGAGGCCGGGCCTCACTGTAAATTTTGGCTCTCACACCGTACATTTTAATACCTACCATTCTACTATTAACTTTAATAAACAATTGAACTAATTTCCAATTACCATTTATCAAAAATCAAAATAACAATAAAATTATTGTTTCAATATCTCGCCGATTCCATCTGCGTGATATACTGTTACTACTCCCCACCACAGTGAGGCTACAATTTCCAGGCATACACTTGCCTTTATAGGCTATGATTCTCCCTCCATGCGAGGCGGTTAAAATAACGTGATTACGCGGGGAACTTGATGCCCATTTTTTTCGGTTTACGGTACCCGCGTAACGTGTGGGTGTAAGTAATGATAATATAAAGGCTTTAACGACAAAGGCAAGGTATTAATTTAAAGTAAATAATAAACAACTTCCTTGCACCAATACAATATAAGACTAAATTTAATATAATATAATATATATTATTATAGTGTCGATATACCTACATAGGTAATAATGAATCCCGCTCATTCTATTGTTTTATCTCTACTTGAAACGCATTTTTCAAGGTGTAATGAAGTAGAAAGACGACGAATTTTGAATGACCAACGTAAAAAATAATGGTAATTTTTAAGAAAAGAGAAGTCTGGAAAGTTCGAAAAATTGCAATCTTGGTATGATAATTATTATCAATGGCTATATGGAACGAGGAAAAATTAAAAAACATTTTTAATTATGCGAAAAATATTACTGGACTACCATGTAAACGGGGCAAAAGTTGCGACGAATTAGAAAAGTACTCGATTTTGGGATTTATATGATTTAAATTTTCTTTCTTTAGTAGATTCCTCAACATTTCCCAAATACGTAAACAAATTTCCCGAAAAATCGTTTGAATGGTTATTACAAATGTATCCAAATGTTTTTGAAATAGATAGGTTGAAAAACGAACTTAATATTTTGTACAGAGACGAACAATTTCATAATTTAGAAGTTCAAAAAACGATAGAAATATTATTCAAGGAATTTAAAATGGTATTTTTGGAAACATACAAATTGTTTTGCAAAGTTGTTTTTCCTGCACCAAATGTCTCTGTATAAAGAAACTTTTCCTCTCTTAAGCGCATTAAGACGTTACATAAGAAATACGATGACACAAAAGTGCTTAAACAACTTAGTTGTGATGGCGATGGAAAAGAAATTGTTGCAAAATCTTAGTGCCGATCCCCAATTTTATGAGGACATTATAAGTAAATTTGCAAATTTAAAAGACCGACGAATAAACATGTCATATATAACGTGAATGGCTGGTTACCTTATGAAAATTTGTTTTTAGTTTTTTCATATTTTTTAATATTCTTAAACCAAGTAGGAACAAATTTTTTAAATATCATTTTGTTTTTTTTTCTATTAATTTTATTGTAAATAACATTTATAAAGTTCTCATGTTATTTAATTTTTTTAATTTATGGTTATTTGAGAGCAGATTCATGAAATAACCAAATAGTTGCGCAAATATTTCTATTTTTTATAAAATCGGAATGAAAACCCTTCTCGTGAATTTCGATAATAGTGTTAACGCAACTAAAAATTTCTAGATTCATTTAGTCGTTTGACCTTGAATATTTAAATTTTTTTACCTGCGGCACTTTTTTTTTATCTTCATTGCCCATCCAGTAAAACAGCCACAAACCTCACCTATTGACAATGTCACGAGCAGCCACTGTAATAGAGGTGCCAGGTAGTTTTGCTTTTGACTTCAATATGAGAGGATATTTCCCTCTATTATCGATGTTTGCCCATAAAAGTTTCTCGAGGCATTGTGGGTAGCGATTTGTATAGGCAGAGTTGCCAAATCTAACTGATAATACTTAAAATCACTAAAAAATTACGCAATTCAAAATTAACAAAAAAAAGCAGAAAGATAAATGCAATATTCGACCCATTTGATTAAAATTATAACACGGTGTAATGTCTATAGTAGGATCATATTTCATGCAAAGTAATAAATCATTGCCTGTCTCAAGGGATCCAGTGTCATACGCTTTTAAGGGTTTTAGAAATTGAATAATTACTTTATATATTATGAAGGGACAAAGGGATCAGTTCACGTCTGGCACCCTTGTTCCTATATAAAATCCTTTATTCTCATGAACTGTTTATTTTAAATGTAATTTATTATAAATCCAATTTGTTTTTTAAATTCCACATATGTACTACATTTTACCTCTGTACGCGCCACTGTTGTTTACTTGTTTTTTGGAGGCACTCTCTGTTTTACGACCAAGCTCGCCAGGTTAGTATTTGGCGTATAACCGACTACTTTGTACACTCGATACACCTGGCCGACTACAGCTACTACCAGAACACAGTGCGTACGCAGCGGTATTTCAGATTTTACATTCAATTTAATTTTAAATTTGAAATGATTCATCTTACGCTTCCTAAAAATGATGACACGATTTTCCTTTGATAAAAGACCGACAACTTTTTGCTCTACTTTGCATCGAATACGATCCTACTATAGTGGCAGTAAAGCTACAATTTTTTTTTGGAGAAAAAAAAAATTATTATCAAAACGTGGCAAATATGAGAGGATTAAAATTCTCTCTTAAACCTAAAAAAGTAAATACTTTATGACTATTGTTTGCATCGATTTGAGCTTGTGTAAAAAAATGTCTGTTAAAAACACAACCCACTTACTGCATATAGCGCAACATTTGAATGGCTGAATATTAATATTTACGTGAAAGATTTTTGAAGGACTGTTTTGCAACGCAGTTGTTCTCTCGCGGAATGTTGAAATGTTAATTTTATTATATCTAATAATTAGTTTATCAAAATATTATGTTTCTTTGTTCACATCAATTGAAAGTTCTGCATTAAAATGTTTAATGACATACCTAAGAAAAGTTAAAAATATTCTACATCTGCGCAGCGTGCTTTTATGTTTTCTGATAAAGTTATATATTTATGCATTTAAAATTCAAACGCTACTGACGAAAAATCTGACCTTCGATCTCAAAGAAATGTTAACGTAAATACATACGTTTCATTCAGTTTTAGAACTACTTGTGTATTTGTACAAAACAGATAAACTAAATATTGTTTATTATTATAGAACTACTGAAAAATGTATTACGTTTTCTGTTGATAACATTTCTTAAAAGAACTGATGAACTGATTAATAATGCGATACAATGTCATCACTATCATCAGTGTTTCTTGGAATTTTTAATGGTACACTGGTTGTTATGTACAGACTGAGCAAAAAGTAGCCAATTTCACAGCCATTTTTTGTAAGGCACGTCAAGTTACTAATCTGACCACTGAGGAGTTGTGTCACTTGATTATTGAAAGTCGGAAAGACTGTTTTAGCGCCATATCCTTTCCCAATGACTTCTTAGTACATCATGAAAAAAGATAAGAACTATAAATGTAAAAGATAGATAAATAAAGGGGAATTAAAATATGTAAATATATTTTTCCCGTTACAGAAATTAATCTAATTTATTATTATTTTTTTTCATAACGATTTTATATTACTACTATAATTATTTTTTTTGACGTGTGTAAACACTTGTTGTGTACTAACACTAATAAAAAAAAAATCTGGAAGTGTTTGTTAACTACTGATTTCCCGAAATCAAATAACACATTTTGATCGTTATACGTGTTTATTAAGTACTTCTACAAACTTTAAATGGTGAATCTAACTAATTTTAAGATAAACTCATATGAACATGGGTCAGTTATTGTAAATGTAAAATGTAAAACTTATTTGTAGAAGTAGTTTACTTTTAGTCTTGTAAATGATCTAAGTTTGTCATATCGCAATACAATCAATAAAAGGCTCATTTTTCACTTGTTTTTCAAAAACTCTTAATGATTCAACGCAGGTTTAACTTTAAAAGTGTTTCAGCGACAAATACTAAGAGTACGTTTTGTTCGTAAAATTGAATGGAGAATAGGTATGTTTAGTCAAAAATAACATATAGTGCGACACAAAAAGGTTATGGTTATTTAAATCCAAGTACAGCACTTATATCAAACAAAAAACTAAGTAAATATTTGAGTTTGTCATCCTCAATACTCCCAATCCCCGAATTTCGTCAAATTTCTATGTTATTCATCAAAAATGTAATAAAATACCAAATGAAAAATTTTTTTTGGAGGCTCTGTATTTCAGGCTCTTGTATTGGGGATCTATGTTCATATGAACTTTTTATCTTAAAATTAGTCAAAGATTCACCCTTTAAAGTTTGTGCAAGTGCTTAATGAAGACATGTACATAAGTATTTTTCTTTTAATTACAAGTAAGAAATTTGAGAATTTCGACGTTCCTATTGAAAAATATTATTAAAACAAATATTTTTTTCAAACGAGATTACATTTAAGTATGGGTGAGATATAACCTACAACGTATGTCGTACCTTAATTTGTCTATGTATTGTTTTGTACCTACCAGCAGAGAGCTATTAATCTGTAGGTAATATGAAAGCATAAATAAACAAATTATTATATATAAATAAATTATCATATGGAATATTAAGGAAAACAACTACTCTGCTGGCTACAGTTCCGTCTTTAAATTACACCCGTAATATTAGTAAATAACCAAAATCATTCTTCAGGAGCATTGCCGGACTTGGACTAGTTTCGAACTTATTAGTTTTCATCAGTATACCACAAGTAAGACATATCTCGTCTATTTACTGGATATTGCGGTCGTAAGTCAATGAAAAAGGGGGCTATAGCTCGCAGAGTAGTTGTTTCCCACAATATCATTTGTTAAAAACACTTACTAATGCAATTCAAATGCTTGCCAGTATATGTTTGTAGTTGTTCATGTCAAAACAGTATATTAAATATTTTTTTCTACTTATATTTATGAAAATAAGGATTTCCTCACGGCGTAGTTAGTATGAAACAAATTTTTTTCCTCTTAATCCGAAAATGGTGTTTTCGTCGTCTCTTAAAACGAAAACAAAAGTCAGATTTATGACTTCTTAAATAAAAACTATCTAAAAATATTTAACAAAATAAAATAAAATGTTGGAAAACAGTATTACGTAAACTCAGCCTTCGTCTCGTCATTAATATAACAAAAACACTTACTTTTTGCATTCACTGCATAAACTAGTATTATTTAACAATTTAACAATCAATTTTAATTAGTGTTTCAGGCCACAGAGTACAAAAGAAATAGAAGAAATACCTCAGGATAGTGTTGCTTAATGCCTGAAACAAGCGAATAAATTTCGCTCTAGATATTAAAAGATGCACTCATTTGGTTGATAAAATATACTAGTTCCAATTTCGGTTGGAGATATAAAAAAGTACAGAAGGAATAACATGGATAGTAACGCGTTGCGTAAAAAAAATAAGGAAGTTTTAAGCTTGCTTAACCCGTCCCTGGAAATGTAGTTTCAACTTTCAATTTTTACCGCCACATATTTTTCATTAAATTATCGTTGACAACAGTTATTTTATCTAGCAACTCAGGTAAATAGATGATTTACCTGATGATGTGCATTTATATGATAAAAAACCATTAATCATTTTGAAGGCACATTTCCAATATGACTCACATAATATTCAGGTATATATTTTATGTATGCATCATTAGCGAATTGTATGACGAATACATGTATAGATACAGTAATATTAAAAACGTACTCGAGGTAGTGTCAATGAAACGAACTTCTTCCCCCACAAATAGAAAACTTATTTTTTCACCCTGAAAACGGCTATGTTCAGTGTAAGTATAACAATTAGTAGATTTATAGATTTATTAAAAAGGGACAGCTGATGAAAAAATACTGATTTGCGATTATTTTCTGGTAATGGAACTATTTTTTTTGAACTAGTGAAAACCATAATTTATTTCAACTTCCTTTCCAATTAGTTAAAAGTAAGTACTGATTTAAAAACCTTCTTATGTTAACGGTACGAAACCGAATTTACCTTTCATCCACGACACCTCACTTTCGCCAAAAGTACCGCTGGCCATGCCGAAAACAAAAGCGAATCGGAGCGGAACTATCACCTAACCATTTAAAAGACACCGTTCTCGCGCTTTTGCACCAACGACGACTGGTGCAGTGAGCGCCGGTTGTTAGACGAACCGAACCACTACAAACTACTTGACTACTCTACCACTACCACTTTGACGCCTAAAGATCTGGGAATCCGCTGGATGGTTCTAGCGTGTTCACGTAGTGTACTGGGTATCGCTCCGCTCTGGTGGGAGTTTCACATACGAGCGTCATTGTGGTAGATTCGGGTTTCAAGAATAGATAAGCGAAGTTTTAGGGGCGTCGCTTGTTTTTGATAACGTAGAGAATGGTCACTATTTTTCATCGTTATTGTTGACGATGCAAAATGTGAAACAAATTTTGAGGATTTAAATAAAAGTTGACACATGTACCACAAAGACAATGTGACATATACGGGGTGTTTCCATAGTTCATTAAATAATAATTCGGTTGCAATAATTGAAATCCGATATGATGCACAACCTCAGCTGTTAATATCTCGTCATACTTCTAACACGTGGCAGGGGGGTCTAGTATAAAAAAGTAGTAAAATCATTGCATAAAACTTTTGCATACGTTAATTTTTTTAATTCATATTCAGTGAAAAAAAAAATAATGTGCAAACATGTAAGATTGCGAAAGAAACTAGACAAAAATTCTTGATGAGTTAAATTACATGATTAAAATTGGTACTTATTTTTGGGACACTTTGTATATCTTTAGACCATTAAAACATGCGACGTACTACTAGAACTTGGAGTTGGTGTCATTGTAAAGAATCCTGTTGACTATTTAATTTTTGTTACTTAAACTGTCAGCAACATAACTTTCTGCAATAGTGGCTGATTTCCACCCACCATGTTTTTTGATTGCTAATACATCAACTCGTGTATTAGCCAGTAACGTTGCCGATGTTCTTCGGAATGGATGGCCTGTATATGTTTCAGGATGTTCTAGTTTCAAAAACTGTGGAGTCATATTAGGAATCATAGGAAGGGTATTCTTGCCGACTGGTTGGTTGGGCGCATAAAAAAGCCTGAAATTTCAGTTTTAATTTCCAATATAATCTTGATATGTTTCAGAACCCAGACGAGAAGTAATTGTAGACGTACGTAACATACCATTTTTAGAATCTGGAATTGTAACAATAATGTCATCGAATGTTTTCAAAATTGACGTCGAAAATAAGTTTGCATAAATCATCAGAACGGCATGCTCCTGCAATACCTAAGACCGTCACTACCTTCATTAGCAAATATGTGTTATCGGGTGCCTGTAAAATCGTTTAACTTTTTAGGTGTATAGCTGTAATTCTTACATTTCAAAAATGCTCTCAGCTTGGGGTATTTTGATATATCCACGTTCTGTTGTAAGAAAATAGTTGACTTAATCATTGAGTATTCACTCCACAAACTCGCCGGTGACTTTAAATTTCTTGACTTCTCCATAAAATATGCTAGCAGTGACATTTCAGAAACACCAGTATTTTTATTCTGGCATCATTCTTTGACATTTTTATATGCTCGTCTGTAGCGCACTTTCAACTTCGCGGGAAATAAAAATTCGCAGACAGCATTTGCTGCATTTTTATTTGAAAATCACTCAGTTAGAAATAATAATTGAAAACCAGCAAAATTGCAACTTTTATATAGCTTTGTCTATAAATACCTTAGAAACGACAAATTCCAAACAACCAAGACGACTTTGCAAGACTTCAATAATGTCAAAATGAATTGATTAAGAAATGTCAAAAAATAAAACCTAATCTTTATTTCATGAACCATAAGGAACTATGGAGCAGACAAAATGTTATACACCACGCAGCAGTTAAGGATAATTTATCAGTCTCGGACTGTATTGCCAGCCCTCGCTCCGCTCGGGCGCAAAATCGTCCTCGACTGGTAAATAATACTTACCTCCTTTATGGTATAAATAACTGTTGCTTTTTTAAAACATTTTGTTGCCTTCCATTTGGGGTTAGTGTTCTAAGAGTATGTTTTGATGGAAAAGATGGAATTATAGCATACAGGGTGTTTCCTAACTTACCTTTATACTAATCTGCACCCCTGAGAAGTTATAGACCTTGAAAGTGAAGTTTCAAATTTCGGAAAAAATCAATATCTCAGTTATACTTGAACTTAGAAAAACCAAATTTGGTACATGCTTCAATTGAAGCATTTTAAAGTGTTGATAAGGGATGATACACACCATTAAAATGGGACAGAATCTGTTAACCCGTGGGTTTATGCATGATGGAGCACCCCTTCATTTTAGTAATATTGTTAGAAACTTTTTAAACCACCGGTATCCAAATAAATGGATTCGAATTGCCCACAAAATGGATTCGAATTGCCCACAAGTTTGACCTCCACCAAAAATCACCAAACCTCAACTAATGTGACTTTATTTGGAGAAAGAGTGATCATTTTGAACAATTTCTATAACTTATCAGTGCAAATTGTATGTTATTTCTGTTTAAGTTGTTTGTTTTTCTATTAAATTATTGTTATTCCAACTTATTTTAAGAAGTTAATTGTTAGTCGACAGATTAACATCATTTTTTTTAATATTCTTTCAAAGCTATTACCAACGTGAAACTATATTAAAATACGTAATATCTCGGAGACCATTGAATATAAATATCATACATAATATATTTTTAAAAATCTCTGACGATATTTCTAACAGTGTAAAAATCTACAGGGTGTTCCATTAAAAAAGAACGTAAGTTAGGCATACAGATTATTTGAGGAAAAATATTTGGAGTTTTCTTATTCCATTTTTTATTTAAGCGCTTCTTTTCAAGATACCGGATGTCAAAATTATAATATAAAAAATGATTTCTATTAGTAACTTATAATTTTCGTAATTGACCGAGCACGTACCTTGTCAGTTTTGTAAAATTTTAATTTAGGGCTTGATTTACGAAATCTTGCAACTTCCTTGAACATATATATTTTTTTAATTCCTCAGTTTTTCTTAAAATGTCTTTGGGCAGTATATGTTCGGATGATTTTGTCCTTGATCTAACAACTAAATTAGGTTTTTACATTTTACTATTTATCAGAATTTATCACAAAATATATTATTTCAGTTTGATAATTGTGAAAACGGAAGCAGATGATTAAAATTATAAATTTCCATATCATTTTTGGTTCTTTCACATTAATACCAAGTTATGTATTCGCGATAATAGACATGTTAAACTTTTAATTTTTAATATTGATGTCATATATTTGTCTTATTTTCCGAGTTCCAGTATTGAAATGTGACTAATTTAAAATCTCGATTTGAAATTAATCGAATTTCTTAAGTTAGATTAGGTAAATTAAAAGATCTTTAATCAAAACTCTTCCCAAAATCGGTATTTCCAATTACTCCACATATTCAAAAAGTTTCAATATCTCAAAAAATTATTTAAAAAATGATCACTTGGTATAAGAAATAATACCTTTAAACCACAAAGGTGTACTGTAGAAAGTTGGAAAGGTAAGTGGGTACTCCAACACCAGTTTATATTTCGATTTTTTTCCAAACCTGGGTAAAAATATCGTTTCCCGTTCGGCGCCTTCTGTTTCACGTGGAGGGTTGCCTGGATCCCGTCGAACATCTGTATCTACTTTTACCGGGGTTGCCACCGCGTAGATTTCGTAGAGACGGCTTTGTAGTTCAGACTGGAAAGTTGAGTGAAGTTTTAAGGCGGGTATCCATTTGTGCCAAATGCCCCGTAACGTAACACCGAACATGTTACGTTACAGCTAGTGGAGACGGAAAATTGTTGCATGGTACGTGTGACAAGTTTGACACGCGTAACTAATCCGGGACGAACCATCATATCAGTTGTCGGTTTTTAGTCGTCGCATCAAAGGGATGCAACAGTACTTTCTGTCACATGTTGAGACGGGGTTACCCTGTTGGCCGTAACGTTGCCTGTTGCGCATGTGATTTTGTCTTATTTCGTGTTTCGTCAGTCTTTTGTATAAGGTCTGGGGTCAGTCTGTTTTCTGCAGTGACTAGGAAGAGTATGTTTTTCTGTGTTTGTGCCATGGAGTGGAGTAAAGAAAAGATTTCCGGAGATTTCCGTTTCTTATTCTTCAAAATTGTATGGTGAATAAAAATATATGACTCTGCTGCTAACTGCAATTGCAGTGACGAATCCATTATTGCAGTCAGGTTCATACTGCGAGTTTATGTTCCTGTGTCGTCTCGTAACCTTATTTTGTTACGTTATGGAATACGACCAAAACCACACATACTTTCGCAGCGAATCGTGTCACCTTTTGCAACAGGTCGTAACATGTTCGTTGTTACGTTACGGAGCATTGCCACAAGTGGATACCCGCCTTTAGATCGCTCGAGTCTTTACGACAATAGGTACCTAGCGTGATTATTTTAAAAACTATAATTTTTATCTAAAAAGTTGTTTTTAGTACAATTATCCATAGGTACATGTTAGTCTAATATTTTATTATTAATTTCGGAAACTATATGTATTCGAGTAACACGTAAGAGGAATACGTTTTTGTAAATCCATCAACGCTCTTTCATAATAGTAAGTCAAATTTAGAAGAAAATACAATTTGGAGCGAAAATCCCTAAGATTTTTTTTGAAATGTAATGTTTCCTGAAATCTAATTAATCTATATTAATCAATATTACTCTACCATTTCCATGTACTTTCAAAGCACCATTTCCATGTACTTTCAAAGCATATTGAATTTTTTACTGGAAACACATATTTACACTAATAAAGGTACAAAATTAAGACAATTTATCAGATTTTCCATAAAAAAAAATAGAATCTGGCAGCGTAGTAGCTTCATCACTATGACATATGTCGTCTATACCTAGATGTAAAATTTGACAGGAGTGTTCCGATTCAAATCTGAACACCATGTGTGTTATGTATTTGTGGACAATCAAAAACTACAGCTGCATGCCAAATTTTTAGGAATCACTATCATAGTTTGGCCTAATATTTTAGCTACACCCTGTATATTGCAATTTTTATACTTCAATTGTTCGGAAAAAACCTAAATGGTTAGTTATCATTTCATTGAACAATGATTAATAATTTAATGGTACTGATAATATTCAAATTTCTTATTCAAATGTTATCAACATAAGTGCAATTTTCTGACAATGCAGATA